TACTCCTTTGGGTCTTTATCGCTTTCGCCTTGAACCCATCCTTTTCCTAGTGCCAACCATTCTATGACTACAAAATATAATTGACATCAGCTCTTCCTAACAAATAGAGTACAACGAATACTAATACGGGCTCTAAGTTTTAAGAGACGCAACGCGGAAGTCACATAACGAAAGACACTCTTAAGGACACTAGAATCTGGAGTGCTCTGATACCAACTGTGATACCCCCGGATTTCCGAATGCGGGTTGGCCAGGCCTACGCCCGAATACCCGAGGATATCAAAAACAAATCGGCAAAAAACGAACACAGAGTACAAAAGAATAAAGAAGAATAAATAAAATGCTGACAAGAAACTAAAATGATAAGCTAATAATAAACCTCAAAATGTTTTTCCATTAATTAATAAACTCTTCTGATACAACTGATCCTCCAAAATACAACTCGGGAATCCATACTGTGTGGACCCCTAGAAAATCCAAACTAAACAAATGACAGCAATAACTGTCTAAATCAGGAAACTGAATCATAAAGGAACTCCTATGCAGCATCGGAAGAATGAAGTAAACTGATCCCCGCTCAGCATGAACAACCTCTACTCTAGACGAACACCTGAAAAATAATGGTGAGTCAGGTGCACAAACAAGTTCTACTCTACTACAGTCCAAGAAGAGATCCGATACACATATACATCCTAGTCAATCCAACAGTAACTAGTAGTCCGTATATATATATATACACACTAAAGGAACCTCATTAGACTATATGGTTGTCTCAACTTGAATAGTTGGCAACATGCAAAATGCACATATAGTGGGCATGAGTACCTAGACCTACCAAGGTACACAACTACACTATATCTAGCTACACATCCCTGGCAATATATGCACCCTAACCACTGATTCTGAGACTTAAGCTCATATTATGACACCATACTTATATATATATAATCTAGTTACCATCCTATTCAGTATAAATTAATCATCCATAAGTCATTCAACTTGTTCAACTGACCTGACTTGAATATAAGTAGGACTTAACATTTTAGTTAATCCATTCTCTTATATAATAAATTAATCATCCATAAGTCATTCAACTTGTTCAGCTGACTTGACTTGAATATAAGTAGGACTTAACATTTTAGTTAATCCATTCCCTTATATAAAATAGGTAGGACTTAACTGATAAGTTAATCCGTTCCTAGAATGCCACCGTCCCATACCGGTGCATTAAACCACACAATCCAACAATTAATGTAACAATTAAAGAAATACATCAAATAATTCAGAAATAACTATGATAATATGATATCAAGTTATCACAAAATAAGAATGACTTATTATTTATTTAAGCTTCCTCTATCATATGTCCTACATAAACTAATTCTTATACATATGATGATATTTTATTATGCCGTCAAATAAGCATTCTCCATATCCAATTCATCCTACACATTTAATCTCAATTGCTAAAACATATTAAAAGATTAAATTCATTCGTTTGTTTAAAACATTCAAGTAGCAAGCATCATTATGATTGAGTCTATTTAAATTTATTTAAACCCAAACCTAGTTCCTATTTAATGGTCAGGAATCCTAGGCATGTTTCTACGTTCTATCATTCCACATATATGAAAAATACATAATTTAAATATGTAAAAATTCACACCAAAAATCAAATCAAAATCATGCATTTATCAATTCATAACACAAGAACAGATATGAATAAAATTTATAAAACCTATGTTCTAATCCAATTAAACATGCATAATTATTTAATTTTATGTGTTTAATAAATCCTGAAATTTCCTAGGCATGTACAGAAACACGAATTAAAGGGAAAGAGATAGAAGAAGAACTTACCTTAAACTTTCAGATCGAAAGTTAAACTTCTTCTTTCTTGATATTCTCTCTACAGGGTTTTTTTCCTCCTTCCCTCTCTAACTCTCTCTCTCTAGAATATATCACGTGAATATTTCTAACCCTTTTTACAACCTATAGCTATATATTTATAAGTTAAATAAAATAACCCTAACCCTTTTTTCCCAATCAAAGTCAACTTAAAAAAAAAATAACTATTAAAATATTACAAAGGTAAGTAAAATATATTACGTATATAATTTATGTATATCTTTATTAAATAAATAAATTATACACATCCCATTATTTATTAATGGATTATCCAATAATACTTAAGTTACCATAATATTATAAAGTAATTTAAAACATAATACGTATCAAATCTATGTATATTTTTATTATTTAAATATAAAATATATACATAAGATTAAATATTACTACCCAAGTTACCATAAAAGTAATTAATAAATTATTTTTCCTTTTATACATATTAAAAAGGTAAGTAAAATATGTTACGTATATAATTTATGTATATGTTTATTAAATAAATAAATTATACACATTCCATTATTTATTAATAGATTATCCAATAATACTTAAGTTACCATAATATTATAAAGTAATTTAAAATATAACATGTATCAAATCTACGTATATTTTTATTATTTAAATATAAAAATATATACATCAGATTAAATATCACTACCCAAGTTACCATAAAAGTAATTAATAAATTATTTTTCTTTTTATATTAGTATATAATATATATCTATATATATACATACACAATTATCCATGGATAATAATCCATACACATCCAATGTCCTATCCAAGTAGTCCATGGGACCCAATTGATTGGCCCATTACTACTAACCATAACCATAAAAGAAAAATAAAATAAAATAATAAAAGAAAAGAAAATATTTAATTTACAATTAATCCAAACACCATTTAAGCACATAATCTAATTAAACAATTAACACATAGACAAATACAAATAATACATAGACACATAATCAAATAATCAAGTAATACTTAATTCAATTAAACACATAAGCAATTAGTCAAATAATCAATTAAATAATTAAAAATACAATTAAAACAAATAAATAAATTTCGAGACTATCCTTTTAAAATTAGGAGTATTACACTTTTGTCACAAAAAGTCATTTTATTGCGACAAATTCATCTTGTCGCTATAATTTTTGTCGCCAAAGACCAAATTTGTTGTAGTGTTAATAAGATTGGTTTTGGTTAGAGATAATTTGTTTATTAATTGATTTTTAAAGGCCTAATAGAAAGAGCTTGCTCGTAGGGTTTAATCCGCGATTTGTTTTTCAGGTTATTAAAAGTTCCAAGTCTCAAGATTGAGGATCCGCAACTAGAGTATTTATCCATTCTTTCAGTTTATTCCAAAGTAGGATGATAGACTTATTTTATTTATAATTGACTGGATTATTAGATAATATTTTTAGGGGTCATTGCATTATGAGATTCTCTAATTGTAATTTTGGAGAAGTATTAATGAAATTATTATTTATTAGTTTTCTTCAGCGTATTATTTACCCTTTTTATTTCTTTTTGTATTCTGTGCTTGTTTAAATACTTTAATTATTTTGATATCCCTTAATTTTGTGCGCGGATTTGATCAACCCGTGTTCCAAAATTAGGGGGCATCACAAGAGGCAATCGACTTTTTGACGCCATTGTTGGGGACTACGATTTAATTGAATTTAGTTTAAGATTGGGTTGTGGTGGTGATGCTGGGGGTTATGGCTGCAGACAGTGGTGAGGGTTGTGGTGGTGGTGATGGTGGGGGTTGTGGCAACTATTTTATGGTTGTCTGCAATTAGGTTAATTCATTTTAGGGTAAATGTATTATAAATTTTAAAGGGATGGCTAGTTTGGTCATTCTTTTTTTCATAAATGGTTTTTGTATAAATAGTATTTACAAGTGCATAGAGGGCATGCCCTCAGAATTTTACTGGAAAGTACAGATTCTTAATGAATAAACATTTCCAGTAAATAAAAAAAAAAAAAACAAAAAACTGTAAACTATAGAATGTCTCTAAGAGAGACATTGCAAACATCTAAAACCTCAAACATAATTTGTCTAGCCACCTCAGAAGTGGGACTAGAATTATTTTCATGTAGTCTTCTATTTCTTTCTTTTCAAATACTCCAGCAGCCAGCAACAAATAAAGTCTGAATCATTTTGCTAGTCTGTTGAGTGAACCATAACAACATGTCATCAATAGTTTGGTCATTTCATAGTGTTGATATTTTTTTTTATATAAATTTGAATTACAAATTTAAGGGCATTTGTGACATTTTAATTGAAAGGGTGTCAATGAAAATTTTTGAAACCTGAAGGGTGTCCATGCCAAAAACCCGTTGACCAACATCACATTGACGGAGATCTCATGAGGTGTCAGTGTAATTTACTCTATTTATTAATAACTAGTAAGACATTTATGTCTCCCTCGGTGTGAGGCATTTATGTCTTCCTCACTGTGCTTGGGGGGTTGTTATTTGCATATTTAGTTTTCTTTGTTATTTGCATATTTTTTGTGAAAATTTTGTTAACTTTATTCAAAATACATGAATTATTAAAAATATATATATATTAATATTAAATATATATAGTTTTTCTTTGAGATATGAATGGTTTATTATGACTACAAACAAAGTTCGGAATCTTGGTAAAGCAAAGATTTTCAATACTAGCTTTCAATCTAAATTGTAGTAGTTCCAATGTCATCTGATTTATCAAATCATATACTTAAACCAAATTGATAGCATCCAATTTTTCAAAACCAATAAGAGTCTTCTTTTACAAGTACAATCATCAATTTATTATAAGAAACACCAGAGATAATATACAACATCTTATCACTGGATTGACATAATTTCATAAAATACATAACCAACTCAAACTTTCTTAGGACACAAGAAAACATGAAAATTATTTGAAATCACGCACAAAGACACAAGTTTAATTGCATGTGTTGCCTTAACCACTTTAACCAAGCATTAAGGACAACATACAGCATTCATTATTGTAACAGCGTTGAATACAAATGCAGTTAAATTATAACGATTAAAAGATTAGGTAAAGATGGTTGATGATCATCGTCTAAATTTCACTTGTCGTAATATGCTCCAATTGCAGTAAGATACTTGTCAGACCTTCCATGAAATCCAATGATCTTGCCACTAGTATCAGATCGGAATTCAAATTTCTCTCCATCCTCCATACCAAACGGTCCATATGTTTTTTTGTTGCTTTGAAATCCGAGCGACCGGATAACAACCATTTTATTAACTTGTCCATAGTACCCCCAAACTGAAAGCAAAAATTCACCAGGGTAGTCTAATTTGACCTACATAAATTATATCAGTAAATAAAATGGTAAGTATGTATGACATTCGCATTTGTATAAATGAAAGATTAAGTATTAAAATCTTTAACAAAAAAGAGAAAAATTTTGTTCCTATTATAATGTATTAAATGACAAATTATACCTAACTGTGGCTTTTGTGCCACATTCAATATCATGCTTAGCGGACCATTGGAACTTCCCTTTTCTATATTTTTTTTCTTTTTCTTTTTATTATTATGTTGTCTAGCTAGTAATCCTTCACAAAACATGGGAGGCAAGACAAATATAAAATATAATAAATTTGTGCATGAGTCGTAGATTTGAAAATCAAATTGCATATATATATATATATATATATTACCGTGTTTTGTTGTCCGCTATCACTACCATGCTTTTTGCCTGAGACTGCATTTCCTTCAATATCATTATAGATAACTTGGATGGAATCAATTAACCATCCGGACTGTATACTTATTCCCCTTATAGTGTTGTAAGTTCCGTCATCCCACTTCTGTCCGGTAGCATTTCCAAATGGACCAACACTAGGTATTGTAGTTTGGATTGGGATTGGCTTAATGTATACTCCAATCGAATTAACAACATCACCCTGTCTTCCAAAGAATCCAACAATCTTGCCAGAAGTTGACGGGTTTGAAAAATGAGTTCCTTCCTCCTCACCATATGGTCCATATTGTCTAATATTGCTTTGTAATGTAATAGATTTCACAACATGTGTATTAAGATAGGACCCTGTGTACCCTGATATTGAGACAAGGTACTCGGTAGGATAATTTAATTTGACCTGCAAGATTTAATAGAATAAGGATAAGTATTACGACAAACACATGCAAATTAACCCCAAACATAATAGAAAAATAGAATTACCTAAAAATGTAACGTTCATAGTGAAAATTGGCAAAAAGATTTCACTATGCGAAAAAATAGATATTACAAGTTTTTAAGCCCACAATTTTTTGTCTCTCAAACTCTATATTTTGTCTTTCATTTTTTTTCCTCATACCATACTACAAAACGTAATAGAGACTAGAATCCGAGTCCATGATCTGCAAGACAAATTTGGGTGATTTTTTTTCTTTTGAAGCCAAAGCCCGATAATGGGATAAGAAGTGGGTTACAACAAGAACTGGGCTGAAATAAAACACGAATAACAAATTTACAGATTTGTATGTTAAGAATGTATATATAGTTGTATACTTGTATGCTTTGTAAGGTGGATGGTGGAGTTCTAATATTATTTATCTATTATATGCAGTGACTGAGTCAATATTTCATTTAAAGAGAGGCATAGTGCACTTGATAAAAAATAAAATCAACACAAATGTGGAATTGTTCATATCAGAAGCCAAGCAAAATAATAATAATAATAATAATAATAATAATAATAATGATAATAAATGAAAAACAATATGTTATTTAGAGAGATGGGAATCTATTTCAGGGAGCCTCAATAATGTGGTGTGCGTCATTTTTTATTTTTACTTTCAGATGTTATTTTGTCTAACTAGATAGCTTCCGCAAAATATGAGACACAGACAAAAATAGAATCAAATAAATTTGTGCATGAGTTGAATATTTGAAAATCAAATTGCAGCACGCACACGCAAATATATATATATATTATACCCTGTTTGGTTCTTCGCAGTCACGGCCGTGTTTCTTTCCCGTGATTGGATTTCCTTCACCATCATCATAGACAACTTGAATGGTTCTAACTGCTGATAAGGAATATATAATTAATTCTCTTATTGTATTGTGAGTTCCGTCATCCCATGATTGTCCTTCTTCACCACCATGTGGTCCGAAAGTAACTTCCTGTTCATCCGCCATGGAGTCCTTAAAGCTAAAGATGAGTTTAGTACTTCAAATTTGTATAAAAATGTAATTAAATCAAAAGGCAATATATATAGATATTTAGACGACCAATCAATAATAATACTTGTAGTATGCAATCTAGATATTTAGACGACCAATCAAGAATAATATTGGTGGATAAGTTAATTTCTTTTTTTCTCTTGGTACGCGAATATGAAGAACAAATTACTTACCCATCTCTGGCTATGAAATTGATGCTGATATACAAGAAACTTTTGGGGATCAATCAAGAAAAATAGAATAAAAATGGAAAATAAAAAGTTAGCAGATGTAAAATAATGAAAATACACATACCAAAAAATAAGAGATGGGAAAGGCTGCCAGAAGTTGAAGAGAACAAAATGAACACCAGGAAGAGAAGGACGAGTCGTCTTGAAAAACATGGGAGATGGCATGGGTATATATATAGCCAATCGAATGAACACATGATGTTTATTAAAAGCCCCCAAAAATTTCAATATTTCTTGTTAATGCCTTCCATTTTAAATTTTTTGGGGAAATGAATCTAACTTTTGACCCAAAACTCGTATAAAATTCTAATTGACCCCTAAATTTTTCAAAACACTTATTTATCCACCCAGTAATTATGATTTTTAAAATATAAGAAAAATTACAAATAGGTAGAGTTGGGAGTTCTAAATAATAAAATGGTCTTTTTTTTTTTTTTAAGTTTTTTTCCATTTTGATTGAATTAAGCAAAATAATTACAAATATATGATGATTTCAAGAATTATGATTAAGGTCCAAAATGCCCTACAAACTCTTATTTCAAAATATCAAAATATCCATCATGTATTTTTCACATACCAAAATAGATAGTTGAGAACCAGTTTGAACTAGCAAATATGAATTAAATAGTTCATAATGACAACTTAAAAATTTTGATTAGTGCATTGTTCTTAAAATAATTGATTTGAACAACTTATTTGCAGTAATATAAGACGTTAAGTAAGCCGTGCAATGAAAAAAATTCAAGAGAAGTATTAATTAAATCCGCACTCTTTATGCGCGCATTTGCATTTCTTTATTCCAACTGGCAGGGTGCTGGACCTATTACATCTGGAATTTTTTTCCGAAAATTATATTATATCTAGAATTGAAGTAAAGTAAATCTTCACAAAAGTTCTTCACACAAACATACACAGTCTTTATTTTGAAAATGTTTGATAAATATGATCTTCTTATTATGTCATATTCTAGAATCTTGAACTAAAAATCAAGAAGAGCACTCTGTAAATACAGATTTTGGAGGTTGATCTCAAATGCCCTCCAAGTCTTTTTTCACAATTAATTCTAACAAATTAAGAATCAGCCAGAATAACTAAGTACGAATTAGATAGTTGGGGAAAAACATCCAATCAGAAAGATAAAACAAAGGAAACAAATAAACCAAAAGATGCACCTTGTTTAATTCAAAGGAAAAAATAATCCTTGATGCGTTTGTAATTATTTTGCTTAATTAAGTTAAATTCAAAAATAAAATTTTAAAATAGAATACTTTGTCATTTAGATTTTTTTTTTTTTTTTTTGGTTAAAAGGTAAGCTTTAATAAATAAAAATGAGAATTTACAAGAACAGCTCAAAGGCACATCTAAGCACAAGGCAGCCAAACAATCATAAAACATACAACAAACAAACCACCATCATCTAAAGCATAAACCCCCACTTGACCAGCCTAATTACCTAGACAACACAGACAAGGATACACTGAGCAAAATAATCACAAACTAATCAGCAAGGCACCATGTCTGTCCTCCTGCAAAGGAGCATCCTTGCATAAACAACTGCAATAAGTTCTCTAGTGATCCAATCATCCTGAGATGATTACCATCCCTTAGTGTCAAAGATGTAAGCTTGGCTCGAACATTGTCATTTAGAATTACTAACTCTACCTATGTATAATTTTTTTTAAAAATAAATATAACTTATGAACATTCAACACTTATAGAAAATTTCAATTTCAACCTTTTGAGCTTACTTTTAAAAGTTTAAATCATGTCAAATAAAAAAATAAGTTCATTGCTTTCGTAGATTTTAGTGCATTGTTTCATTTTATATTTATATAATCACACTTTTAATATCATTATATAAATTAAAACATGATAAAGAAAAAAATTACACTAATATGTCCTCATAATTAATAAAAATACGTGAACTTTTCTTTTTAGTCATTTTCGTTAAACAATTCTACAAAAAAAAGAAAAAAATTCTAAAATTATACATAAATCTTTATGGGCAACTCTTGGGAGCATAGTGGGGGAAAAACTAAAATATCCCTCAGACCATGTTTTTTAGTTGTCACGTGTTAGATGACAAATTTTATAAAAGAACCTCTTAAGTTAAAATGTCATTTTTTTTGTTTTTTCCTTCATCTTTCATCACAGTAAGAATGCATGGCATATATATCTCAACATTGAATCAAAGTAATAAAATCAAAAAAAAAAAAAAAAATTCACTTCTTCTCTATTTTTATTTCATTTATTTTTACATCAGATTATATATTTATTTTTTTAAATAGAAATTTTTTTTTTTTTTTAAGTTCAAACTTGGATTGAACAGCATGTTCAACCGTACCCTACATTACCCAATAAAAAACATATGTGTTAGTAATTAGGCGATCGATACTTATCCGACAAAATAGAATAGAAAAAGAAATTTTTTTGAAAAGAGATGTGATTGATAGGATCTTACAGAAACAAACATCAGAAATGGTTTAAATCTATAAATGTTTAACTTTGCTTATCCATTAGTTCTTCGGAGTGGAACTAGGTATATGTAATTATTAATTAGGTTATCAATACTTATAAGAGTAGTGATAGTTATATCGAACACTTGCAATAAATTATTTAATTGAATAATTTTTATTAATTATTTATACTAAATATAAATAGGTAAGGTCTTATTTTTAATTTATTACATAAATGACCAGTTAAAAACAATAGATCTAATAATTCACTGTAAATATACGATACAAGAATCATTTTACAAAAAAATATATTTGAAAAGAGTGGTGGTTGATATTATCTTACATGAACATACGCTAGAAATGATATTATGCCATTAGTTGGAGATACGCTCGTGTAAAGATGCGATGCTATTGATATATTTAATAATTTCCCTACCATTACCAACCTATAATTTTAGAAACAAACTTTTTCAAATCGTGTTATTTTAATGAATAATACAGATTTCAAGCAACACCAGCTCAAGATTCCCTCATCACATAGAGAGAATTTGGATTCTTAACATTATCATTCACATCAAACACATAAATTAACAAGCTCGAGTAATCAAGTTTTCTCAGTGTAAAACAATTGGACATATCATGTTTGAATTACTATACTGTATTCAGAGACTCTGAGTTATCACGTTTTCTCAGTGTAAAACATTAAAAACAAATTTTTTTTTTTTTTGCACCTGGTGGATTTCAAAAAATGACACGGCATTTCTTTGGCATGTGAAGTTGTGAACTGATTAAAAAAGACAAACCTCGTAGTTGTTAAAAATTAGATAATTCCGGTATATAATATACTGTTAAGTGCATGCAGTACGGGGTGGTCGAATTTTATTATTGAAATTTCGATTGTTACAATAGGTTTAAAAATTAAGCATGCAAATAAACAAAACAAATTAGAAAAGAGTCACCAGAGTTTTTTTCTTTTTTCCTCTCAAAAAAATAATACGCTCTCATTTCTTGTCCAGATTTAAAATTTCAATCTTTTTTAGAATAAAAATTGAGGAAATCGATACAACTAGACTTCTCTCTATAATAGTGACTCTTGATTCATCAGTCTTTTTTGTTTTTTTGTTTTTTTTTTTGATATAGAATTTTAAAATTTCTAAAACTGTTACTTTAGCCACTATTTTAATCTTTCCCTCTCTCTCTATTGGACTTTTATATCTCCATCTCCAATCCTTTCTTTTCCTGTGTTACATGACTCCTTTTAGCTATATATATATATATATTTACATTTAATGAAGAATCACAATTTCTGCAAAAGTATGAAAAACCCCTTAAATAAAGGATTTTGTTTGGACATTACCCAATAGTTTAGTTGGTGTGCAAGTGTTTGGGCCGCCCCTCCCCTAATTTGCCAGAAAAAAAGAGGATTTTGTTTATTATCTTTTATTTTTATTGTATGGTATACATGAAAATCATGAATATATACTCGTTAATTAAAAAAAAAATTTAAAAACCCATATTTTATAGGTCACAATTCTCTTATTTATTTGCTTAATTTAACGATCACTTAAACTTTTAATTTGGATAGCCTAATTAAAAATAATTTAAAGGTCCAATACAAATACAAGTTTCATTAATTAATTTTTTATAATTACAAGTAGGATTTTCTACATTTCCTGAGTCATAACTAATTTAATTTATTATATAATTCTTAATAATATTCATTATAAATTTATAAGAGCAAATGACGATAATACAATACCGCAAAGGCAAACATTTGTACCTTTCAAAAAAGTTCAAAAGAGAAAAAGAGCACACATTTGAATTTGTTTTGTTTGCTTTGTATAAATTTTATATAATACAAAAATTCACGGAAGAACTGTCAACATAGTAAATATAAATATTACAGTATCAATTAATAATAAGTTTACGTCGTTGGGTAAATATGATTGCTATATTATTTTACTAACTACTTTTTTTTTACACTCAACAGTCACTATGTGAATGAATTTTTTTTTTTTTTTTTTACCGGTGGGCATGACATTATTACCCATTTATCTTATTATTTATTTTATAAAATCATGACAAAACCTAATAATCTTATAAGTTATAATTTCATCTTAATCTTCCGATTTATAAAGAGATTTATATACTTATCAAGAAAAAGAACTAGCAATAACATTACTAATGTGCTTATTGTGACATATAATTTTTGAAATTGGTAAATTTTAGTGTCAAAATAAGTCTGATCGAGTTGTAATATCACATTACC